TCAGCTGTCGGCTCAGCTGTGCTGCCAGCCCTGGAGCCTCATCCCATTTCACTGATGAGGCAAGTGTGAAAAATGGAGCGTAATGGAGACGTCACAAGATCTCCCAGGGCCCCCAACTGGAGCCGCCTGCTCTCCATCCATCTGGATCTGCCAGGGGCGATGAGGATGCGTCCAGCTCACTGCTCTTTGGAAAAGGCATACATCTCCCTGGGGGCTTGTGTATGTGTGCATATGTGTGGCATATGTGTGGTGAGTGTCTGTGCGTGCAGGGCTGTGAGCTCTAAGGCATCCTGGCATTGGGGGTCCAAACTAGCCAGCTTCTCCTTCTGGATCTGCTGGCCTAATTCCCAGCTGCAGCTGCCACCCTGGGTCCCCTCCCTGAAGCAATCTCCCTGCAGCAGAGAAAAGGAGGGGGGTGAGGGAAGGGGAGAGAAGCAGAGAAAGAGGACTCAGCTCTAATCTGATGTAGATGATCCGGCAGGCTGCCCAGCTCGGCTGCCCTCTGCCATCATCTCTCCGGGCGATTTTCTCTGTGCCCTGCACTCTCCCCTTCTGCCTTCATCTCCTTAAGAAAGTGGCCAGAAAGTTAAACACAGACACACAAACACACACACACACAATCCACCAAAAAAAAAAAAATCAAGAGAGCAGGAGCAGGCAGACGGGTAAGAGAGCACGCGCGCCAGAAAGAGGGCTCAGCTTGGTCTTGGAGGAAGAGCGACACAGGCAGAGGGAGGCTGGGGTTGGCAGTGACCCAGACCGAGGTCTCCTAGCCCCCAAGGAGCCTCCTTCATGGACCCGAGGATCCCAAGAGGGGCTGCCTCAGCTTAGGATGGGCAACTGTGTCAAGTCGCCACTGAGACATCTCTCCAGGAAGGTATGTTTCCGGAGCTCCCAAGCGCTGGGGTTGGGGATGGGGCGTCTTGCCACCTGCCCCAGAGGTTGGGCATGGAGCGGGTGGGCATCTGAGCTTGCTGTTTTTTCCCAGAGATTCCGTCTAGGGTTGCTTCCCTGTTCTTACCTCCAGATACCCTCCGATCACAGATGCTTATGTCTCAGACCCCAAGCTGAAGTTGGGTCCTAGAGCTGCATGCTGGGGGGTTGGTGGAGAGTGGGGGAGTCTGTGTTTGGGAATTTGCACAGGAGTTAGCTTTAAATCATGTAGCTTTAAATCACGTAAAATGAAAAGTGTGGATTCTTAGGATATCAGTGCACAGACACCTTTGAATCAGGCAGGATCGGAAGATCCTTCGCAGCAGCATGCTCGGGGGCTCATTCATAACCTTCTGGGGTCTGTGTGCCTCTCTGGTGGTCTCTAAGTCTTCAGAAGTGTGAGTTTTGAAGTAGAACCCATTGCTGCTGAAAAGCACCAAGCAGACTATCTCCTTCCTTCTACCTTCAATAATTCCCAAGTCCCATCACAGAATCTCAAGAATGACCAGACTAGCTTCTGGCCCAGGATAGGTTCCCTTAAGAAACAGGATGCCCAAGAGATATGTTGAACAGGTGTGTCCATCAATCACTTTCTGGATTGGATCTAATGCTTATACACTAGGATAATATTCTTTTGCAAGAATTCTGTTGGGGAAGGAAATAATCACTCTTAAGGCATCTTTCATGCAGGTCCTGGGTATCTACCGGGTTTTGCTTCAGGTGGGCTCTCTCTGTATTTCTAGCCCTCTGTAGTCAGGCCAAACTCAGACATTATTTAAAGGAAAAAGGAGACATAGGGATATCTTCCTCCAATTCTTCCATTTTCCAAAGGAACTCGATGGCCACTCAGAAGGGTTTAGAGACACACCTAGGGTCTCAGGTCAGCTAATGGCACCTTTATACCAGCCCCCTCCTCCATCCTCCGTCAGTGTGATGGCTTCTCCATTTAGGACATTTTGGGCTTTTCTGCCTGTCAACTTCTTCATTCAGCTAAGCTGCTCACATCAAATTCCATTTAATCTTTGCCGTTCCTTGGATCCTTCTGAGGATGGATGGTTGCGTCTGCGTGTTTCCGACCCCCCCCCACCATAATCTGTCATCTTCTTAGAGGAATCTGCCATACCAGAGGTGGCCTCGGTGCTGAATCAGAGAAGCAGAAACTGATATGAATTCGTCTAGAGGACCACAGGCGAACACCCTCGCAGTGGGTTCTATCCAGAGTTTGAGGGGGTGAAGTTAGGAACAAGAACTGTCTTTCTGTCCCCCTCGCCCATCTGCCCTTACACAGTAGAGTGCTTAAGAGTCACACAATTCTCCCACATCTTGTGACCTTAGCAAATTAACCTCTCTGTACCTCAGTTCCCGTAGCCATCAATTTATCCCTCTCTTGGGGTCCCTCTCTTTCTTGCAGTGCTGGGGATCAAACCCCAGGGCCTTATGCATGCTAAGCAACTGACCACTGAGCTATAACCTCAGTTCTAATGTCTATCTCTTAAGGCAATTGTGAAAACTAAATAGTGTCAGGCACAGTGTCTGACATATAGTAATCAATATTAGTATTATTGTCATTGTAATCATATTTTTCCCACTCTGTATTTTAGAGAAGAGGGATGGAGGAGAAAAAGGAAAAATGAAGAGTTTGATGTTATTATTGGTGCTGGGACAGAACCCCGGGCCTCTGCATACTAAGCTCATGCTCTGCTCTTGACTCACACCTCCAGGCCAGGAGGTTCTGAGCCAATGGAATAAGTCAAAAGATCATTAAAATGGGCTTCATTCAATGTCATGTTCCTCAGAAAGTTAGTAATGATTGCTTTTTCTTATTTACAACATATCTAACATCTGCTATCTCGCTTGCTCTTTTCCACAAAGTAGTTTTCTTGGCTAGTTTGCAGAGAAAGCTGCTGGACACAGAGATAAGAGCTTTCTTAAGGTCTCAAAGGTCTCAATCAGGGCTGGGATTTAGACCCTGGATGTGTGAAGTCAGGGTTGGGTTTTATTTTTATTTTATATTTTTCCCTCTGGGAGAGGCTGCCTGTCTAAATTTCTCCTGCTGTCAGAAATGTTCTACCTAGATTCCTGGATCTGACCTTAGAAGTCATCTAGTCCAAATTCCCACTCAGTGTAGCCATACCTTCTCACCAAGCATGCATTGTTTAAATTCTGGAACTCCTGCAGGGAGAGGGAATTCTGACCTGCACGCTTGTGTTGTTAGAAAGCTGTAAAGGTTATGAGGCTCGGTGGCCCCTCCTGCTGCCAGGTCACACCCAGGACATGTCCATTTAGTGCCAGGGAGACCTTGTCAGCTTGTGGCTTGGCTTGAGTGGTAGCTGGAGAGCTGGTAAAGAGGAGAGGTGGCACGCCTAGAGCTCTGAGCTGGGCAGGACCAGGCTGTCAGGTGCCATCACTGGCTGGAGAAGGGCTGCAGCCTCCAGGGCAACTTGGTGCCAGACAGCATTATCATTAAGAGATGCAATGGAAATTCCCCAGACACCACTGCTTCATTCTTTGTGGGAGCGAATTCCTCTCCATCCTTCTCATTTCTTTCCTGATTGGCAGATGTTCCCCCACTTCCTCTGGAGCCAGAAGTAAATGCCTTCTGGCACACAGAATCTCTTAAGTTATATCACCACCATCACCATCATCCTGATTGTCATTACTATGGCAACTCCATTTATTTGCTCTTACCATGTTCTAGGCACTATGCAAAGCACTTTCTATGCAATCGCTCATTATTTCTCACAAGAATCCTGTGAAGAGACATGATTATCCCTGGGAAAGAAACTGGAGTACTGAGAGGGAAAGCGACCTGCCCAAGGTCACACAGCAAACAAGCATCAGAGCCCAAACTTGTTCCCAAGACCATGTCCAAAGCCAGCATACCAAACTGCCTCTCAGAGTTCTGTGCCACCTGCTGCCTCCTCCGTCCTCAGTTGTGCTCATTCTGAGTCAAGTACACGAGATTCAGCTAGAAACAAAAAATCTGATTTTCTGCAAACATCTTGTGAGGTGGTTTCTTGGTGTTATGTCACTGTCCACTCCCAGGCTTCCTTTGGTTCCCACTCCCAGTTGGGAAGGTCTGTGTTGGTCTCTGCCAGCACCAGTCTGGCTCCTGCATGCAGCAGAGATTCTGACTCTTGCCTCTGAGGGGCATCAAGCCAGGATGGGCCCTTAGTCTGTCTGACATCCCCGATTTCTGAGATTTCCTAAAACTGACCCTTCTTGGACTCACCAAACTTGAGCCTTGGACTGGGTTCCTTCACCTTGATTCTGAGTGTCTCCTTTCCCTTTAAGGGATCAGAATACTGCTCCTTCTCTCTATAAGCCTGGAATTGGCTTAGGACATTGGAAGGGTGCCTCTGTAGCCCCACAGTGGGGGACTTTGGGGAGAAGCATGAGAGGACAAGGGACGGGTGGTTCTGCTTCTCAGCCTGGTGGTACAGGCTGCCCCTGGGTCTTGGGATCTTCTCCTAGGCCATGGAGGCAGCTGCTCAGAAGTGCAATGGGATGAGAGGATAGGGGCACAGCCCTGGGCTTCTCACACAAGGACAGCCTTCAGGGGTTCAGCCACTCTGCCTCTTCTTGGGAAGTTTCTGCTCCAAATCCCCACACTGAGAGGAGACCGCCCAGCACCAGGCTGAGGGCAGAGTGCTGTGACCTGAATTCTGGAGAGGGGCTGGCAGGCTGGGGAGACCGGGGTGGAACCGAATGTTGTGTCTAGATGCTGCTGTTGTCCTAAGGGAAGGTCTGTGGGCAGTGCTGGCTTTTTATAGCTGCATGGGAACCTGCAGGGGGGAGAATGGCTTGGCCAGGGCCTGGGAGCACAGCTATATTTGGTCAGCAGACAAGGCCCCTGCCTTAGCCTCTAGAGGTCCAGCAGGCTGGGCCGGGCAGGAAGCCAGGGAAGGCGGGAGGGAGGGAGAGGAGAGCGGCGGGGAGTCTGTCTAATCTTGAGGTTGTAAACCGAGTGGAATCCAAGCACAGAGGTGTCTTGTTTGTTGTTTGGCCCACCTGGTGCTTTAAATCAAGAGAGTGGCTGGAGTTAGGTGGGACTGCCCATTTAAAGGGGGCGCGTAGCATCCATTTTGCACCCCGCCCATCCCCACCTCTTGATCCCTGCCTGCTTCATTAAAGGCAGTGATGGCACCTACATTTGCAGCCTCTAGTCCAGCAGACTAAAGGAAACTGTTGTCCATGTTGTCGACTCTGATGGCACCCCCCAGCCTTTCAGCGGGGATCTGGCTGGGATAGGATCAGAGCCCATCAGTAAGCTGGGAGACATGACATAGCTTGAGTATTGAGCTTGGCCATTGGAAGCATTTGGAGAAAGGACATTGTTCCATTACGCTCAAAGAGAACACTTCCCATTGATCAGGACAGAAACTGTCCTCTGATTGCTTCTCAGCCTGAGCTTCTGTGTGCATATGAGCATGAGCATGTGATTCTGTGTATAGATGTGTGTGTGCATGTGTGTGCACGTGTGCGTGTGCATGGGCCACACAGCAAGCATCACACCCAGCTGTCCCTGGACAACTGTGTCAGTCAAGGATTGGCGTCTCCATCTATTGAACCATTGGCGTCTCCATCTATTTGAGACATGACCCTGAGGCCCTCTGAACCCTACCACTTGACTCTGGAGGATCTTCTCGGAAGGAGATGTCCCTCTAGGACCAGGAGTGAAGCTGGGGCCGGAAGAGCTACGTGGGCAAGGAAGTGATACCCTGCCTCTCTTTTGTATTTACTTGGTTCTGGCTGAAGATGCGCCAGGAGGAGAAGACCAGCTACATGGTGGTGCAGACAAGCGAGGAGGGGCTGGCAGCCAGTGATGAGCTCCCCGGACCGCTCCTGATGCTGGCCCAAAACTGCGCCGTCATGCACAACCTGCTGGGCCCTGCTTGTATTTTTCTGCGCAAGGGTTTCGCCGAGAACAGGCAGCCTGTACGTAAGTTGGCCCAGTGGAGCTTGATGAACTTGGCTTCCCAGGGCATAAGGAGGTGCTGGGAGGAAGAGGGATTCTGTACCCAGCTAGCTGCCCCTGTCCTCCAGTGGATAGTCCCCCAGCTTGTCAGTCTGACTTCCAGTTTCCCACTTGTGGCTACAAAGTGACTTGTCCATTTCTACCAGCAAGAAGTAATGGTAAGCTGGGCATGGAGGCGCACTCCTGGAATCCCAGCGGCTTGGGAGGCTGAGGTAGGAAGATCATGAGTTCAAAGCCAGCCTCAGCAACTTAATGAGGCCCTAAGCGACTCAGCAAGATTATAAAATACAAAAAGGGGCTGGGATGTGGCTCATAGTTAAGTGCCTCTGGGTTCAATCCATGGTACCAAAAAAATGGGAAAAAAAAAGTAATGATAGCAGATACAGTTCTTTGGAGCACTTCGGATGTACCAGGACCTGTGTTAAGTGTGTTAATGGATTCCCTCCTTTAAGCCTCAGCAACTCCGAGAGGTAGGTGCTTTTATCACCCCCATTTCACAGATGAGAAGACTGAGTCAGAGAGGTAACATGCTGAGGTAACAGCTCATAGGTGGTAGTATGACAATCAGGTAGTGTGACCTAAGAGCCTCCTGTGCTTTTAACAGTTCTGTATATACAGCTTCATCCAGTAGAATTTTCTATGGTGATGGGAATAGTCTAAAATGTATTGCTGCTAGTAGCATGTGGCTCTTGACCACTTGAAATGTGGCTGGTGCAATGAAGGAACTGAATTATCTATCTTATTTCATTGTAAGTAAAATTGAAATAGCTGCATGCAACTAGTGCTACTCTACTTGACAGCATCCTATGAATAGTCACAGGAGTAAGAAAAAGAAGATGTTTCAGATACAAGCATTTGTAAGTTGCATTTATTGAATACTACATGCTGAATACTGTCCTTGTCTTGTTTCATACAATGTTCATAAAGGCCCTGGGAGGTAAGGACTGATATTAACCTATAACACAGATGGGGAGACTGTGGCTCAGAGAGTGGAATTGACCTGCTCAAGGTCCCACAGTTAGGAAGTAGCAGATCTGGGCTCTGTACTCAGGTCAGTCTGACTTTAGGGTCCAAGCTTTTCTCCCCTAACTATATAAACTGGACAGAAATGAGCAGATACGTGCTTTCTTCTACCTGGCCCCCTGCGTTGGTGCACGTAGTTCCCCCCCATATGGGTGGGCATCCGCAGCTCCACTCCAGAACACAGCACACATGCCTTCACTGCTCGGCATGAGGAACAGTGTGTGAGCCATGGACCAGTCACCAGGGCTCTGCTGCAGGCACACTTTGAAGGGGTACTGGGTTTGCTGCTCCTTGAGTTCTAGGCATACAAGAGGTATAGAAGGGGCTGCAGTAGGGGCCAGCAGCAACCATCTACCCCGAGTCCTGCAGAGTGGGGCCCTGGAGAAGTGGCTAGTTGTTTGAAACATGATGGATGGGAAGGATTCCTTTTATAGCTCAATAACTGGTCCCAGTGAGTACACTTTTGCAGGTGTATATGCACACTTAAGTCGGCCCTCTGTTTCTATGGGTTCCATCTCAGTGGAAGAGTTGATTCAGCTAAATGCAGATCAAAGATATTTTTGAAAAATTGTATATGGGGCTGGGGTTGTAGCTCAGTGGTAGAGTACTTGCCTTGCATGTGGAAGGTACTGGGTTCAATCCTCAGCACTACGTAAAAATAAAATAAAGGTATTATGTCCATCTGCAACTAAAAACATATTTAAAAAAAATTGTATCTGTCTGGGTGTGGTGATGCACACCTATAATCCCAGAAGCTTGGGAGGCTGAGGCAGGAGGATTGCAAGTTCAAAGCCAGCCTCAGCAACTTAGTGAGGCCCTAAATAACTCAGCAAGACCCTGTCTCTAAATAAAATATAAAAATAGGGCTGGGGACGTGGCTCAGTGGTTAAGTGCCCTTGGGTTCAATCCCTGGTACTCCCCCCCAGTTGCATCTGTACTGAATATGGACAGTGTAACTATTTACATAGCACTTACATTGGATTAGGTATTACAAGTCATCTAGAGATGATTTAAAAGATGTGGGAAGGGGGCTGGGGATGTGGCTCAAGTGGTAGCACGCTTGCCTAGCATGTGTGAGGCACTGGGTTCAATTCTCGGCACCACATAAAAAAAAATAACATGAAGATATTGTGCCCACCTAAAACTAAATAATAAATATCAAGAAAAAGGAAGATGTGCATGGGCTATGTGCAAATACTACATCTTTTTTAGTATTTATTTTTTAGTTATAGATGGACACAGTACCTCCATTTGTTTTTATGTGGTGCTGAGGATCGAACCCAGGGCCTTGCACATGCTAGTCAAGCACAATACCCCTGAGCCACAACCCCAGCCCCCAAATACTACATCTTTTTAAAAAAATATTTATTTTTTGGTTATAGGTGGACACATTATCTTTTTTATATATTTTTAATTTTTTTTAGTTGTAGTTGGACACAATACCTTTATTTTTTATTTATTTTTATGTGGTGCTGAGGATTGAACCCAGTGCCTAACGCATGCTAGGCAAGCGCTCTACCTCTGAGTCACAACCCCAGCCCCAATGCTATGTCTTTTTATATAAGGGACTTGAGCATCCTTGGATTGAGGTATCTACGGGGGTTCCTGGAATCAATGCCCCACTGAGACCAAAGGATATCTGTACTCACTTTCATTTGTACAAATGAAAAAAACAATTTGTAAACCCAAAAATATCTGTGGGTCTGTCTAGGGACAAAGTCGACATACCCTCGCACCTTGCACGCTGACAAGCCTTGTAGGTGAGTCCACAGGACCGTCACCCAGAGACCGACATCCCTTCAGGCGACTCCTCCTGCCTGGAGACTCTGGCTGCCCCCAGGCTGCCGGTTCCCAGCTCCTCTACACTCTCATCACCAGCACCCCCTTCACCAGGAGCCTCAGGCTTCCTACTGCCTGTCCCTCACCCTGGAGCCAGTATGGAGTGGGTGGCAGCCACAGTATCCACCCACCCTGGCTCTGCTGGCTGGGATGGCCTATGTGCGCAGCCGAGATGCCCCCTGCTCACTGTGGCCTGCCTGTGTGCCTGGGTTCGTGACACGGTGCCCACCCTGTCATGAGCCTCCTCAGGTCAGCCTGCCTCATGTTCTCCCTGCCCAAAGGCAGAGAGCTAGAGTGCTGGGGGGGCGGGTGGGAGTCTCCTAACCAGGCCCACCTGGGCACCCATATCCATTGTGTGCCAGTCTGTCTCCCTCCTGGGCAGACCTCACCATCCAGCGCCTGCCCCGTGCCTCCTCTGGGGCCTGCTCTTTGGAGACTTCTCTGCCATCTGTTCTGACGCCTGGACCCGGGTTTCCTTGACTCCCCAAGGAGACCTGGGCCCTGCTGGAGACTGGAGATGTGTGCTTTGGACCCTGGCAGCCGTCAGAGGCACTGGTGGCCAGCAGGATCCTATACTGTGTCCTGTAACAGGGCAAGTGTAAGGATGGGGGCAAATTGGGGGCAGCAGGGCATAGTCCCAATTCTGCCTCCCCTTCCCCTGGCTCCTCCTCTGCCCTCTGGGGCTCCCTGTATGGTCCCTGCTTCCTCTTGCCTTGCAGCCCTGCTTCTGATTGCCTTGTGGGATTCTGCCCCCTTCCCTGGTGTCACTGGGTGTTGCTCTCCTCTCTCCGGTGACCTCCCCTGGCCCTGCTTTATTTACAGGTATTTGCCTCTGTGCCAGCTCTGTTCCTGACCTACTCTTGTATCTGGAATAAGGACCTCAGCGGTTCTGTGCCCAGGCTCAGGGTTCGGTGGATCCTTGGGCTTCTCTGAGAGGCCCAGGGGCTTCTGTGTCTGTGGCTCATTGTGGGGGCTCCAAGGACGTGGTCCAGACAAACCTCTGTGCCATTCCTATCACCTTCCACCCAGAGCCAGCTGCCCCTTGGAGGGCCCCCTCTGGATGGGCATCTTATAACTCCCAGGTCCCCTGCTGCCGCTAACAGGACTTGCTCTTTTGTTTCAGGACAGATCACTGCGACCAGAGGAGATCGAAGGTAAAACTTGGACCTCGGGGGGAAAGGGCTGCTCAGCCTCCAGGAGGGTATGGGAGGGAGATGGTGGGAAGAGAGTCAGGGCCTCCTGGCCTCCTGGGAACAGGGCCTGCTACAGAGCAGGGCATCTGCTGGGGACCCAGCCATTGGAGGAAGGAGCCTGAGAGAAGCCCAGAGTCCAGGGGGACCCCAGGGCCCATCTATCTGGTGGGCCCTGTTCCTAGAGGCTGACTTTGTTCCCCAAGGCTCTGTGGGTCCTACCCCCCTGCCTTTGTTCCTTTCCCCAGAGCTACGAGAGGCCTTCCGAGAATTTGACAAGGACAAGGACGGCTACATCAACTGTCGGGACCTGGGCAACTGTATGCGCACCATGGGCTACATGCCCACCGAGATGGAGCTCATTGAGCTATCCCAGCAGATCAACATGAACCGTGAGTCCCTCCGCACGGCACCTCCATCCCTTCTCATCAGACAGGCCTGGGTTCAAAGGCTACATCCGCTTTTTTTCCAGCTGTGTGACCTGGTACAAAGCACCTACCCTCTCTGAGCCTCAGTTTCCTCATCTATAAAATAAGAGTGTAACAGGGGAGTGGAGCTGAAGAAGTAAATTAGGGAATATATGCAAAACAGTCTAATACCTGGCTTACAGCAAGAAATGATCAGAGGAATGCTATGGTTGTTTTTCTCTGTCTTAGTCAGGGTTCTTCTGAGATAGTGATCTGAGTGCAAGGGGTGTATTTGGTAGGTGAAGGAAAGGATTGGTAGGCAGTGAGGAAGTGAGGTAGTGTAGGGAAGGAACCCACCCAGGGCTGACTCTCGTGCCAGCTACCACGGAGGGGCTGGGCTCAGCCTGTTGGGGATAATAAAGAATGGCTACCTAAGAGTGTCCCCCCGCATCCCTCCCTACCTCTCCAGCTGGGTATTTATCCCCTACTCCTGTGGGTCTTTGTTGAGAGCTGTTGTGAGCAGGCAGTGGGTACCAGTCCTCTGGTCCTTCTACATATCCACTTGGAAGTTGAGTCTGCATTGGCACAACAAGGGCAAGGCTTGGGCACACATAACTTTTGTTTCTCTCCGTCTTTCTATGAGTGTCCCACTCTTTCCATTTTTGAAATGCTTTGCCTGACTCTGAGCCAATACCTCATTCTCTCTTCCATATCTACCTCTATCTGCTTCCTGATTGGCTCCCTTATTCGACCTCTGGCCACTCCCCCGAGCCATTCCTTGACAAACCACCTGTCTGTGGTCACCTCTCTGTCCTTGTTTGGCCTTTGCTTGTCACCTGGAGCCAGACACAGGCAGAACCAACGAGGGGTTGGCAGTGCTCTCCTTCCAAGTTGGAGATGGGGAATGTGTGGCTTGAGGGTGACCTGGCCCCTTTCCTCTTGCTCCAGTGGGTGGCCATGTGGATTTTGATGACTTCGTGGAGCTAATGGGGCCTAAACTCCTGGCAGAGACGGCCGACATGATTGGAGTAAAGGAACTGAGAGATGCCTTTCGAGAGGTGAGTGACAGGCCATGACAGGCCGTTAGAGCCGGGATCCCAGGATGGCTGCTTGAAAAGAAGATTGGGAGCCAGGCGCAGTGGCACACGCCTGTAATCCTAGCAACTCAGGAGGCTGAGGCAGGAGGACCCTGTCTCAAAATTAAAAAAATGAAAAGGGCTGAGAGTGTAGCTCAGAGGTACAGTGCCCTGGGCTCAATCCCTAGGACCTCGGAACAAAACACAAAACAAAACAAAGAAAGAAAAAAGAGAGAAGAAGGCTGGGACCCGGGTTTCAGACCAGTGTGGAACTTGGACAGAAGAGTGACTCCAGGGAAGGGGGGACACTGGGTCTGAAGAAGGAGCATGGCCTTGGGACCTGCTGCTCCGTCTCCCTCCTTCTGCCCTCTCTAGTTTGACACCAACGGTGACGGGGAGATAAGCACCAGTGAGTTGCGAGAGGCCATGAGGAAGCTCCTGGGTCATCAGGTGGGACACCGAGACATAGAGGAAATTATCCGAGATGTGGACCTCAATGGGGATGGACGAGTGGACTTTGAAGGTAGGTGGCACTTGAACACAGGAGAGAAGCCAGCCAGCCGTGGCCGGCCACAGAGTCCTCCAACTGTGTATCCACCATACAAGCAGCCATCCAGCCCAACTTTCTATCATCCTGTCCTTCCATTCTCTCATCCCACTGTCCAGTTGCCCCTCTAGACCACTCCCATCCTTACTGCATCCATCTATCCATCATTCATCCATCTACCTGTCCCTTCACCTCTTCATCTCTCCATATTTATCTCTATCATTTCCTACATTCATCTCTTCATCTGTCTAGATGCCTAGGTATCCATAAGTCACCTCTAAATAATCATCCATACAGCCATTTACCCACACATTTACCTCTCCATTCATGCATCTATTAATTCTTCTATACCTTTACCTTCACCTTGCATTCATTAAGTATCTAAATGCTCATTCATTTCTCCCACTTCTGTTCTTCTGCTCCTACATTCATATATCTCTATGCATCTGCCTGGACTTCTATTCATACTGCATTGATCTCTCCATCTGTCTGTTCAGTCATTTACCCACCTATCTCCATCTATTCATCCATCCACCCATCTCTGAGTCCCTGTGTCTGGGTGCCTTCATCCATCTCTATCCATCTGCCCATCTCATGCATCCATCCATGGTGGTTCCTTTCTTTCTTTCTTTTTGGTGCTGGGTATTGAACTCAGGGGCACTCGACCACTGAGCCCCATCCCCAGCCCTATTTTGTATTTTATTTAGAAACAGGGTCTCACTGAGTTGCTTAGCACCTCACTTTTGCCAAGGCTGGCTTTGAACTCATGATCTTCCTGCCTCAGCCTCCTCAGCCGCTAGGATTACAGGCGTGCACCATTGTGCCCGCATGGTGGTTACTTTCTGAACACCACATTCCTCAATCTGACCTCAGTCCTGTGATATCTGACCGTAGTTCACTTTCTACCATGCCTTCACTCATCTCCTCCAAAATACTCATGGTCCATGAACCTACGAGGCCCTCTTGTTCTTTTTGCTAGGATGCCTTTTTTTCTGTTCTCCACTCGGGCTAAATTTTATTCTCCCTTCAAGGCCCAGAAGTGAGGCCACTTCCTCCAGTACTTCTTTCCTGTCCTTCAGACTGAACTTTCTCTTTTCTGGGCTTTTATAGCACTTCAGGTTCACCCCCATTCCTCACACTGTCCCCCAACTGCTGCTTATAGTCATCACCCTACTTGACTCTGAAACTTGAAAGAAAAGGAACCCTGTTTTCTTGATCTCTGCATTTCCTACATAACTCAGCACTTGACACATACCTAATGTTCAGGGAACAGTTTTTAAAGGAATCAATAGTAATAATAGTTATCACTTATGTACACTTATCTTGTGCCAGTCATACTAAGTAGCTTTATATATTTATCTCATTTAATTCTTGAAACGACTCTATACATCTCACTATTATTTCCTCACACGAGGAAACTGAGGCTCAGAGAAGTAAATAACTTGCTCAAGAATTGGCTAACTATTAGGAGGCAGAGCTGGGGCACAAACCCAGGCCTGGAATCCCAACTACTATGTACTCCCACACAAGATACCTTTCCAAGCACAAAGCCATGTGGGAGAGAAAAGTAACATGACCCTGTACTCAGGACCTTGCATGCTGAGCAGAAAGACAGGATAAGCATGTGTCAGTGTATGTGTCCAGGACACAAAGTCTTGGGAGGTCTTCTCTGGGGAGTAATTGGCTTTCAAGGGAGGTGAGAGTGTGCACAGATGGATTGAAGGTTTGCTTGCATCAGCTCTGAAAATCTCAGGTTGCCCTGTGTCTACGTAGCACCCATTGCAGATGATGGCCCATCTTCAAGAGCCTGGCATTGCCCATTCGTTCTTTCAAGATGTGTTGTTCACCTGCCGTGGACTGAGACCTGGTCACTGCCTTTGGAAGCAGAAAAACAGAAAAGCAGTGTAGTGCGTGCTATGTTGAAGGAAGCAGAGCAGGCACAGAGGGGACCCCTATGCCAAGCCAGGGGGAGGGATTAGGGAAGGAGGTTATAAATGAATGGAGACCTGAAAGATGGGTAGAAGCCACCCGATGAAAAAGAAAGATATTGATCGTAATGAATTGACACTTCTGTCCACATGGAAACCTGCACACCAGTGTTTGTAGCAGGTTTGTTCATAACTGCCAAATCTTGGAAGCAACCAAGGTGTCCCTCAATAGGTGAATGGATAAATAAACTGTGGTAATCCAGAAGATGGAATATTTTTTCATCACTAAAAAGGAATGAGCTATCAAGCCACAGAAAAACATAGATGGACCTTAAATGCATATTACTATGTGAAAGAAGCCAATCTGAAAAGGCTACATATGTACTGTATGATTCCGGGCTATATGATCTACTGGAAAAGGCCAAACTGTCTCCATAGACAGTAAAAAGATCACCGGTTGGGCAGTGAAACTACTCCAGATGCCATAATAATAGATACTTGTCATTGTATGTGTATCCAAACCCAAAGAATGTGCCACACCAAGAACAAATCGGGGATGTCAGCTATGGATGTTGGGTGATAAGGAGGTATCAAAGTGGGTTCATCTATTGAAATGTCCTATTCCCATGGGACATGTTGATGGTAGAGGAAGCTATGCATGAGTGGAACAGAGGTTGGAAGGGGAATTTCTGTACTTTCCAATCAATTTTGCTATAAACCTAAAACTAGTCTGAAAAATTACGTATAGGAAAGAAAAGAAAGGCTTGGGGACAGGTTGTAGAAAACTGAGAGGTGGGGGACAGGAGAAAGGGAGGGGCAGGGGGAGAGAGCATACAGTAGTAAGCGAGAGCCATCTGCGTTCTGATGGGCAGGTGGGGTTGGAGCTTGGAGACTGGAGGAGAAGGGGAGCAATGGGACGGGAGATGTCAGCAGCCAGGCCAGCTCAGCGAGGGCCCTGGGGCTGCGGCAGGACACTGGACATCACCTCTGTGGAACCATAGAGGTTTAATCAGGGGTCACGTGTGCAGACTAGAGGCTCACCCTGGTTGCTGTGCAGGACGTCGTTTGGAGGGGGCAGAGTGGATGTGGGGGATCAGCGCAGAGTCAGGGCAGTGTGATGGGAAGAGGGGCGTGGAGGCAGCCTCCTGGGCCGCGCCCTGACTGTCGCTGTCTCCCTGTCTGTTCCTGCCCCTTTGCAGAGTTTGTCCGGATGATGTCCCGCTGAGGCCGCAAGGGCCCCTCCAGGACTGCCAAGCTCCCACAGGCGGGGAGGGGAGAAGAGGAGCCAGAGCTCGCCTCGCCCCGCCCCCGCCGTAGCCGCCGAGAGCCCAGGATGTACTGGCGGATGGGGCCTGCCTGCACCCCGGGGAGGTGCCCACCCCGGACCCCCACCCCTCCGCACTGTGAAAGACTCACAACTCCTGCAACTGGAAAAGGGGGCGCCCGCCGACGACGAGGAGGCCACAGTGCCAAGCCGGCAGAGGTCATGCCAGGCGCCAAGTGCCATGTACCCAGCCGCTGCTGGCTGGGTGGGCCCGGGAGCCCGCCAGCAGACCCCACACAGCATGTCTGCCCCGGGGCAAAGCCTGTCGCCGCCCTCCTTCGCTCTATGCCCATCCCAGCTCGCCTAGCCCTGTGATCTCAGAACCAATAAAAATATTTCCAAGAGACAGATGGCCCGGGTGGTCTTTAGTTCTTGGTCCTCGTTAGATGGTGCACAAATTTCCTGCGGGCCACTTGCATGGAACTGGCTGAACTTTCCTGCGTTCAACGTGCATTTATTCAGTAACTCGTATATACCCGGTGACTTCTGTCCCCATCCCATAGGTTAAAACCTAGTACCTCTCCCTAATAGGGGAAACTGAGGAATGTGGTCATTTAGCTGGGTATGCGGCTGCCCGGTGTACCATTTCCTGACTTCCTGGAGCTTTCGTGCTGGTCAGGGAAGTAGACATGACATAAACATACCCAGACACGATATGAATGGAGATGTGGCTGGAAGGAAGCATACAGGCCCTTCAGCAGGGTGTACAGGGGTCCTGGCCTACTCTAAGGAGGTCAGGGAGGGCTTTCCTGAGGAAGCGACAACAAGGGCTTTGCCCTGAAGGAAATCCTAGCCTGTGTGAGGAGACAGATGTTGAAACAGCTGCCATCCTCTCCACTGAGATAGGAAGCAGGAAGTCTAGTGGTTAGGCCCCGAGTTTGCTTGTGATGTGACTTTGGGCCACTTAGGTCTCCTCTTGGGACCTCAGTTTCCTAATATGTAATGTGGGGATAATAAAGGATGGGGTCAGTACCGGGTGAGCACTCCAGAGGACCTGCATTGTGAATTTCTGGGAGCTGCCACTCTCAGACTGTGGTGGACTTGTGCAATGTGGTGATAGGGAATAGATCCATTCTAATAATTTGTAATGAATTTCTACAAATGAAAGGTTAAAGTAATCGGAATAAATTTGTGGGTTTGGCAGGCTTGGCACATACTTGAGATAGAGCCTGGCAGCAGGTGTACTCTGAGCCATTGATTTTGTACTTTAATATGCATAAGAATCACCTGGAGGATTTGTTAAGCCATAGATCTGCCTATACCATGCCCCCATGCCCCTCCCAACGCCCCACCCTGCAGTGGTTCTGATTTTGTTTGGGATGGGCTCCATGAATGTGCATCTCTAACAAATTCCCAGAGACTGCAGATGCTGCCGCAGATGCTGCCAGTCCATGGATCACAGTCTGAAAAACTGCTGTACATTGAAGACACGTGGGAGGCGGGTGGGGGCAGGCTGCAGGCTGCAGGCTGCAGCTGGCTGGGTGGAGATGGAGCATCCCCTGTCTGCTGTGCTGCAGCAGAGGGAGGACACCTGTTCTCAGATCTGGCGGCGAATGTGGGAAGGACTGTGGGCCCCAGCCAGAGGCCTGGGTAATCCCCATGTCCCTGAGCCGGGAGCTCCAAATTCACTCTAATAATCCAATTCTGAGACTAAGCCCTTGGCTCCGGTCCCTGCAAGGCAGGCCTGCTGCCCTGCATGTCCCATACCAGCTTAGCTCTGCCAGGCTCCAGGTCTGCACTGTTTCAGAAAGGCAAAGACCTTGGAGGGCGATGTGCAGAAAGATGGCTTCTGTAGACATCTCTGTCAGCCATCAGGGCCACTGTTCAGAGGAACCTTAGTGCTTAGCATAAGGAAGTCCCAGGGCCTAGGCTTCTGCCCCTGATGCAGAAACTAGAACTCCTCTTTCTCCTGCCTTGTATTTTAGGGCTACTAGTAAGATCGTCTGAAGAAAGGGTTCTGTGACTTTTCAAGAAGTGAGATGCCTTTTCCTAGATGGAAATTCCTTCTGCTTCCCCCACACCACTGCTTTAATACTTGGTGGATCATCTTAGAAGAGCCCTCACGGTCTAAGCCCCGATTTGCCTCCTTGGGATTTGTAAAGTCTAATTTATGCACTCATTCCTGCATGTGTTCAACCGATATTTTTTACTTATTTCTTTATATATTCATTCATTCACTTATTCATTTTGCAGTGATGGGCATAGAACCCAGGGGCCTGGTGCCTGCTAGGCAAGGGCTCTATCCCTGAGCTACATCTCCAACCCCCTACTGATACTTATTGAATTCCTACCATGTGCTAGACCCTGTGCCAGGGTCTCTGTTCTCAAGACAGTAGTGGGGGAAATAAACTAGTGTAATCTAGTGACTAACTGGGCTAGTCTCAGAGCTGCAGGAGTACATAAAAGGCACCTGTTCCAATCCTGTGTGTGTCATGGGATGGTGTTGAACGGACGGATTTGCTAGGACCTGATGGGTTAGTAGTGCTGAGTCAGAAGAGGTAGTCAGGAAGAGTGTTTCTGGTTGCGGGGACAGCTGCGCCAAGGCCCAGAGGAAAGGGGGAGCCTGGTCCCTTCAGAAAACTAAGTGAAATTCCATCTGTCAGTTGTACTGGGTGGCTGGAAGGAGGAGGAGAGAGGGATGACTCTCAACAAGAAGGCAGCACCCAATCCCGCTGTAGACTTTGGAGTGTGGAAAGCCTCAGGCGGGACCTCTGAGGAGCTGCCATGTTATCTCTGCAGGCCACAGTAGTAGAATCCCTGGTGCCTGTGAAGAGCTTGCCTTTGGGGACAGATTTATCCAGCGGGTTAAAAAAAAAAAAACATAGTGACTGCAGATAGCCTGAAAGCATCCATAGCAATATGCTTTAGAGCGTGGATCTGACTATAAAACAGAAAAGCAGACATTATATACTCCAATGGAAGAACACACCATCACCTGGGGCCTTGCCAAAAGGATCACATTGGAGTCTGATCACTCCATGAGATGCAGCAGGCAATTTTCAGGAAATGTTAGGGCAGAGGAACATGTTGCCATCAGTAAAATCCAGAAAACTCCACAGGTCAGTTGGCCCTGGTTCTTCAACAGATCAATTACAAAAACCAAAAAGGAATGGAGGGGGAATTTGTGGAATAAAAGAGACTTAAGGGGCTGGGGATGTAGCTCAGGGGTAAAGCACTTGCCTAGCATGTGTGAGGCACTGGGTTTGATCCGCAGCATGACATAAAAATAAAAAAAATCAAGGTATTGTGTCCATCCACAACTAAAAAAAATTTTTTTAAAAAGAATAGCAGTTGCTTTTAGAAGGAAGGGCACAGACAGGGGCTTCTTGGGTATCTGGCAAAGTTCTACTTCTTGACCAGTAGGCTGATCACAGGGTGTATATCTTGTAATAACTTCTAATAATTCATTAAGTTCACTAAGTTGTCTGCTTCCTTCATATTTTTTTCTATGTCTTGTTTTACAATAAAAAGACTAAAAAAAAAAAAAAAAAAAGCAAGAGTGGACTCAGAAGCCAGCTGCCTGTTCAGATCACAGCTCCGCCGTCTATGAGCTGTGTCATCTGGGTGAGTAATCAGCCCCTTTGGGTCTCAGTTTCCTCACTTGTAAAATAGGGATGTTATTACAGAGTTATTCTGAAAATGAAACAAGTTAGTACAGTTGGCTCTCCGTGGATGTGGAACATGCAGATCCAACCATGGATCAAAAATTGGGAAAAAATATGTATGAACTTTTTCTTGTCATTCTTCCCTAAACAACACAATATAAACACTATTGACATAGCATTTACATTAGGTATTACAAGTGATCTAGAGATGATTTAGTGTGTAGGTTATATGCAGATACAATGCCATTTTACATAAAGGACTTGAGCACCCATGGACTTTGGTATCTGTGGATACCAAATCCATCCCTATTGCATACCCTTGGTATCAGACCTGCTCACCATTGGTACCAAGGGACAACTGTATACATGAAGACCTTGGAACTGTGCCTGTTATACTGTGACACACAGTAAGCATTATTACAGCTCTCAGTATTATTATTGTCATTATTGCTATTCCCTGTCGCCTCCCACCCCTCTTATGTCCTTGTGTTCCATGATTCTCTCAAGGACAGCAGAAGGGAAAGTCAGGCCTGGAATTCTTCAATGGCTGTGCCAGAACCTTTCATTGACAATGACAAGCTAATCAGAGCTTAACTCTGACTTGGCTCCATGTCTATGCTGCATGGTCCTGCAAGGTGGCCCTGATCCTGTTGTGCCTGTGACTCTGGTTGCAGGGCAGGAATATCCCTTCACCCCCATGGACTTGCCTACCCCCTGCTCCTGTTCTCCAGCCGATGGCTGGTTTTCCTAGGGGGAGGACAGGGGTTCTGAATACCATGAGCAAGCCATGGGCTTTGGTGTTAACGGGGACCTGGGGTCTGACCCCAGCTCTGCCACTTAAGGTAAAGGATGTATGTGTTGAGCAAGTTCTTGTTCTCTTATTCTCTATTATTAGTACTAATAATTGTACCTACCTAGTGGGGGTAGTTGTGAAGAAATAGCCCATGCATGATGCTTTGCAGAGGGCCTGGCTCAGGACCTTCATGCTGATCCCTCTGCTTACAATGGTTTTTACCACACTCTTGGAATAGCTAGATCCTTCTCATTTTTTCAACCTGGGCTCTTGACTTATTGAAGAAAGTCAGTAAAAAATAATAATAATTATTATTATTATTATTTTGGTCTGGAGATTGAACCCAGGGGAACTTTACCACTGAGCTACATCCCTAGCCCTTTTATTTTTTATTTTGAGACAGAGTGTTCCTAAGTGGCTGAGGCTGACCTCAAACTTGTGATCCTCCTGCCTTAGCCTCCTGAGTCACTGGGATCACAGGAGTGTGCCACCACGCCAGGTTGTACTGATTATATTTCAACTCTTTGTCCATTGAAGCATTTTATTTGAATATATGTATCACATTCATAGAAAAAGAATTCCAGGATTTTCATACTGTATCTTTGTGGTCCATGATGCCCACTGAGGTCATCAGTCCAATGAAACCAAATGATGAAATGGGGGCAGATTTTTCATCCATT